GTGATTGTAGCAGCCAATTTTTGTTTAATTCTACGACTAGTACGAGTTACGTTTTTACACATTGTGATGAATTAAGAAACAACGACTACAACAAACTCGAATTTCAACGTGTGCCATGTTGGGTCTACAGTGTGACCTTGACCATGTTGACCTCATTATGCACGTATTTCCGCGCCCACCTCATTATAATAAGTGCATTCATGAATATTTAATAACAATGAATTTCCTGCAGAATAAACCAGTCGGGATGATTTTGCGCTAACACCTCCATTTTTTAAATTTTATTTAAACTACAAAAACAAATTAATCGCCCTGACTGTGCCAGTCTAACACCCCCCCCCACACACACACACCTGGTTACTAATGACTGCTGAAATTCCTAAGGGTGCATGGAAGCATATCGGCTATGATAACAGAGTGACATGTACGAACTGAATAAAGGTTATTATTTCATGGATTTCGAGCCAAGTGAGTAACGGAAGGGCACTAACATGCAATATAAGCATTAATAATTAGATAATAACACATGCTTGTGAGGGTAATATCACGATTTATTGCCTGCCCAAGGGATGGTGGTCATAAAATTGATGATGACGAAGCCAAGGTTCGTGCATATAGGTCGTGAATTGTGTAATATCCCGTTTTATAGGAGGATTGTTGCTTAAATGTCTAATATTTATTACTATGTAATATCTATTTTTATCCAATGTCATGTGACAGAGTCTCAACCAATCACGTCATGCGTAACAATAGTGAAATGTGATAATGGTATATTATCCATACACTTAGTGGCTAGTGAATATGTTTATGTGGTTGCTATATGGTTGGGGGGGGATTTTGAATACACCTTCAGAGATATAATCTATAAAAATAGGTCGAAGTAACCAAGCGATGGTATTTTACATTAGGTATTTAATAGTTAAATGGGGAAATGCAGAAGTTGAAGTAGCTGGGACGGTAAATTAGGTTAATAGGCGTACACCTCAGGTGCGGATTTTGGCACTCTGCCAATTAAATTCGGACCCATTGCAACAATGTTCCTAACACCAGTATTCTAAATACAAACATGAGCGGTGCAGAATCAATGTTTATTGAAGTGGCCTTAACCCAGCATCCTCAAATTCAAGTTATACCTCCAACTCCAACATTGTACCCAGTCAACTATTTTGCTAGGTCTTGGCCATTGATGAAACAAGGCATCCATCCAGAGCAAGGTCAACGTAT